TAATTTATCTCTTACCAATTATCTCTTTTCTTTTATCTCTTATCAATTATGTCTTAGCATTTATCTTTTATCACTTATCATTTATTTCTGGTCTCTAATCATTTTTCTCTTATCATTTTTTGAGTTAGAAGCCGAAAGGGACTGAAAATGATGTGGCCCCTCTTTTAAGGTGAGCTTTAGCACTGAATAACAGGGCGTAATTTTTTTTTCTTAAGTCATTGTTTTTTTACTTAATTGCCGAAACCTTCAATTTTTGACTTATCGAAAAAATGAAAATGGGGGGCTTATTTGGGGGTCCTCTAGATGCCCAATCACCTATTACTCACCTTTCATGCTGGAACACCCTGTATGTTGGATTCAGTAAGTTGGTTATAGTTAGGTCGACTTGGCAATTATCGCAATGGGTAGGAGGATCCTTATTTGTTTGTTATGCTTGTGTTAACAGAGAATGTCCCATTCTGGCTTTTGTTAAGGTGACTTCGTGCCGTCTTACTAAGTGTGAGGGAATAGGCCATTTTCAATAATTTTCTTAAAATTTTTAAGTTTATGAGTGAGTGGCGTAGAATCCAAATAATTTTGCCATACCATGTTTATTTTTTTTAAATTTAATTTAATTTTAAAAAACCATCATAAAATACATAGAATACAAAAACATCAAGTTAGTTTACATGATTATCTATCTCTTTTAAGCTATAATAGCTTGTGTTAGAGATAGAGAGTAATTAATTAATAATTAAGAACACAAATTATATCATTAAGTAACAAAGTAATGTGATAAATAAAATAGAAGTAAAAAACCAAAAAAAAATTTAAAAATTTTAACATTAGAAAAATTGTGAGTATGAGATGTAATATTAAATATAACAGAAACATATGAATGACTTAAACTATTTTAGAAAACTATTATTAATACACAATTTCTTTAACATTACTTTTAGAATAGTGAATATTTTTTTTATAATGCCACGGCAAAGATTTAAAATACATAGGTTCTAAATAATTAACAAAAGATTTATAAAAACAATTTGACAGGTATATTATACCGTATATTTTCTCTATTACCTTCCAACAATTTATAATTTTTACCTTGTATGAACCTTTTACAAGTGTGCGAAATGTCAATTTTTTTATGAAGAAATCTGGTTGGTAAAATACCCAGCTCTCTATAATTTTGAGTCGTAGAATGTTGCAAGGAGTTCTTGTTTAAACAAATTCTTATTATGTTATTCTGGTTTACTTGCAATTTATTTAGAACATTATCGCCTAATCCCTCCCCCCCATACTAGCATTCCATATTGGTTATTGATTGATATAGGGCAAAATAAATTACATATTAATATCAAAATTGGGCAATATCTGTAGTAATATTTTGTGATTCACAGTATCAAATGCCTTTTTTAAGTCCAAGGATACAGCAATCACCTTGTTACTGTTATCTAATTCATTAAAAATAAACTAGGTCGTACTAAATAGAGCATCATCTAATTGTATTATTCGACTTTGTGTACCCGATAAAATTTATTTATAATTTGGTTTGTTAATGTTAACACAATAATAACATTGGGTAAGTCTACCGTATCTAAAAAAATGTAACAACAAATTATTTAAAAAAGTAAAAACAGTGAAGAGCAATAATAACTGTTTTTTCAAAGCGCAAATAAATTTACATTAAAATTCACCAGACAAAAAAATTAGCTTGATAATTGCATCTCTTCCATAAACTGTATTTATTATATAATTATTATAAAGGAAATTAATGAAAACACAATAGTAATAATGTCGGAAAGTGTAATTTGAATTTTAAAATACACTACACTCAAATAAAGAATATTCTATATTATGCATATTGCTTTGGTAATAATGCGAAATAACGCACGATGGTTTCTTTATAGTGTAATTGTAATATTGTGTACTTTAATATTAATATAACAAGTATGTATGCTTTTTTTTAACTATATTACATGGGTAAATGAAATAATTTTTTGTTGCAGTACATTCAATACACGTTGACAAACCAAGAAAAAAGAAAAAATTAAAAACTGATTAGAGACTTTTTTATTTTTTTTTAATCATTTTTTATGTATTAGAAACGTATTTTCGTTGTATTGTGTACTTTAAATAGGAAATCTACCTGAAAAAAAATTAAAACTCTAACATTGAGTCTTGGATGAATAACAGTTAACAATTAAAATTAAAAATTTAAATTGTATCAATCATTTTGAACGAGAAGCGGTTCATGCCGGTAGAATTGCAGTCTACCACAGTAAAAAAAGATAAAGCGAATATTGTTATTATCTCTAATATGGAAGCAATCTTCAGAAGTAATAGTCTTACACATGTTGCAGACATTTGTTCAGCCATATGTGCAATAGTAAACAGTATCAAATTAGTCATGATAATTATCTTTTGTTTTTTTCCCAAAAAAAGTCAGTATAGTAGGGTCACGGCATAACGGGGACGGGGAGGTCTCAGGTTTACAGGAATTATAACAACTGAATGTGATAAAATTACTTTCAAACAAACATTTTGATGCTAGTTTTTTAACACATCACCTCACTTTAATATTTTCTTACTTTGCTGCTTTTTACTGTGACTGGTTTGGACGGTACTGTTATAAAAAAAATACTACTGTTTCGCATCGAAGCGTTTATTTACTAATAAAAATTTACACTTTCAGTTATAATAATCCCTGTAAATCTGTCACTTTCCAATGTCCCGACCCCACTGTAATGGCTTTTTTAACCCCAATTGATGTTTTATATGGTTTATATGTTTTAGGTTTTTAAATTTTGGCCTACCGTTTGGTAATGGGTAAGTTTATTTTCAAGACATTAAAGTAAACTGTTCATTTGCAAAATACAAGACTAGCACATTGTGGTTGAGACTTATTGGAAACCAGATCACGTTTTGTTTTGAAATTAATAATATATACTTATGTAAAAATGATATGGAAACGGTTATTTTTTTCTTCTTTTTATTAAATGTGAACGATACGCATATTATGAACTGTTCGATTTGGGATTTATCAGTTGAACCGTAGTGGAAGTTTCGGAAATGGAAATTCATAATATATTAATGTTTACAAATGGTTTATAGATCTTAAAAATGTTTTTATTTTAGTAATAAGATAGATACATTTTGGGTTAGGTTAGGTTAGGATAATGACGATTATTTTTGTTACACTATCTAAATTAAGCGGTTTAGGTGATCCATGGGCCCAGACACAAATATGAAAACTAATTAAAAACATCAATGTAAAAACAATATCTTCTCAGCTCTGCATCGAAGCTAAAATATTCATATATCAAAAACTAAGTTGTTTATTCTTTATTCTATATCGCTATGATAAGTTGTTTTTTTTTTCATATTATACTTATAACTATTAAAATAACAGTGCAATAAAAAAAGGTTAAGAGATAAAAAATGGATAACATTTGTTTTTAAGAAGTTTAATACATACATTTAAATTTAATAAATTAGATAATTATCAATACCAATGTAAAAAAATAACACCTTGTCAGCCCTGAATTGAAGCTAAAATATTTAACTATTAATAATTTATTTTACAATTATGCTGTAACTAAAAGATAATATGTACGCATAACATTGAAAAAAAAAAAATTCAGATGATCTTTACTAAAATATGTATAAACTATAGTGTAGCTAATCTGGTATTCTCGTATCTGTATTACAAAGACAACGAACATATTATTGTTTCTCTTAAATTACTAGAAATTGAGAATACGAAAAGAGTAATAAAATGTGATAGATAGGCGTAATTACCTTCTGCTAATTTTTAATAAATTAATCTTTAGTGTTTAAGTTCCCTGAAGTAATAAAACAAGTAACAGCCCCAATAAATAGAATTGATCGAAGTTGAAATGGTTTTTAAAAACATGGGCAAATTGTCATATTCATAATTTACAATCTAGGACACATTAGAATAAAGCGAAATAAAACAAAATTATGTCAGTTTATGTTATAAAAACATTTATCCTTGAGGGTAAAAGAGTTTTTACATTTTTTTTTATTATTCCGTTTTTATCAAGACAAATTGCTTATCATCCGTTAATCGTAGTTTGCTGATTATAGTTGGAAATTAACTATTAGATTAGTAATTTATTTTATAATAACACACTGATATGAGTATAATATGGTTTTGAAATACAACAATATATTGTTCTAAAGTGAATTTTTTCATAATTATATGGATCCAAGAAAGGACTCCACGAAAAGATATCTTTTTTAATTTTTAAGTCCTATTAAGTCTCCCTGGAATTGTTTACATATTTTAAATAGAAATTGATTAAATAATTTGTTTAATATGATAATAATAAAATGGTATAATGTTTTTTCTTGGCTGGCTAAAATAATAACACTCTAATTTAACCTCATATCGATTCAAAAATGTAACGAGTAAAAAATTAACATATTTTTTAATGTTTTTATTTATAACAACGGTTTTACTAACTACATATTCGTCATGAAAAATAACGAAACCCTATTTAATATGATTACATTAAATTAAAATAACACTATTAAAAACATTGCTTCAATAATTGATTACGGTCTTGCTTCTATTTTATCGTTAAACCCTTCGACAAACTTTAGTGTCGTTGAAAACATTACACGGAGATTATCTGGTTTAGGACTCTTATCCGACGGATTAAAACGATAAGACCTAAACAGTGTTTAGATGACAGTTTTATTGACATATTTTTTAATGCTTTTAGCAGTTATTTAAGTCCAAAAACTAAAAATAAAGACATCGATATGAAGAATATAATACACTTACACATTAATGATGTCTAAAACCGAGAGAATATGCGTTTAGGTAACTTAAAAAGTTTACAGAAAATATTTAGTAAAACGAGACAACACCGACAAATTGGTAAGCCAAAATAATAACCATAACCGAAATACCTAAAATCTAAAAAATAACAAAACCCTATCTAATATCATTACAAAAAATCCGAACAGTACAATATAAATGTGTAAATAATTTTGGTTCTAAAATCTGCTTCAATAATTGATTACGGTCTCGCTTCTATTTTAACGTAACACCCGTCGACAAATTTTAGTGTCGTTGAAAACATTACACGAAGATTTTCTGGTTTAGGACACTTATCCGACGGATGAAAACGATAAGACCGGATCAGAGTTGAGATGACTGTTTTCATTTGAAGCATTGCATATTTGTAACCGGGGCAATTCCTATAACCAGCACTAAAAGGAAGAAACGAATACGGATGGCGACTGCGACATGCTTCGGGCAAGAAGTTGTCCGGGTTGAATTTCTCCGGATCGGGATAGATTTGCGCATTAAAGTGTAACAGAGCAGGGAAAATTAGGAACGTTGACCCTGCAGATATTTTTAAAAATTACTTTACTTTGTTATTTTAAGTATCAATTGTGGATAGTTATCAAACAAATATATCTATGGCCGTACCTGCAGGGATTAAATAGCCTCCAATCATTGTTTCCTTTTCTACGTTTCTGCCAAATAATGGGAGGGGGGGGAAATGTCGCATAGTTTCTTTGATTACACGTTCCAAGTATTCCATGTTTTGTAAATCATCATAGGTAGGTTGTCGATCGGGATCGCCAGAAGAAAATATTGTCAATAACTCTTCCAACACCTATTATGAGGCAAAGAAAAAAATATACAATTTTTTCGTTACCAAGAATACCCAAAACGTGTAATTTTAAAATTTATATAAAAATACAAAATATGGGTTACTTTATTTTGTACATCCTGATGATGAGCCAACATAAATATTATACATGCGTTCGTCATAGCTGTTGTGTCTTGACCTCCTAAATACCACATAAAAAAAAAAATAGAGAAAAACAATTCCTCTTAATACGCATGTTAAAATATATAATAAACATACGACCAATTCTTTCCAAAAGTCATTTTAAAAAAAAAACACGTACCAATTATAACAGTAATTATTTCATCCCGTAATTGGTTAAATGTCAACTGATTTTCATTCTCGAGCATTATCTCAATAAACGATTTAGATTTAAGGCCAATACATTCATCGTTATATTCTTCCTGATTGTTTATATTGTTCTTCAATTCTGTATTTTTTCTCTGAACTAAATCGTCGATGAAATTAAAAATTTTACTTTGACTTATGTCATGTTTACGTTTAAGCGAAGAAAACTGAAATAGACTTTTGTTCCAAAACCACGGGTGTGTTATTCGGTATTCCCAAACCTAAAACCAATCTTCATTAAAAAAGGCTGACATGCCAACTCAAAAACATCATCGGTAAAGTACTTATTAGTTATAAAGTGTGCCTTGTAATATATATTCATTCCAGAAATCATGAAATATTGAACGTATACCTTTAGTATGACATGTAAATTCTCCACAAATACATGCTTTGCGTTTTTCTGTGCATTTAATTTTACACCCAAAGCGGTTCTTCCGATCATCTCCATTGTCGCCATACCGATTGCCCAGCTTATTTCACATTCATTTGTATTATTTTCCCGTTTCTCGTACAACACATGGCTTAAGAATTTTGCTTCCTCGTAAAATATTGGTACGAACGATTTAAGCATCGAAAACTTAAACCCCGAAGATACCAATTTTCTATAAGTATGATATAAAATTCAAATGAAATTTGTAAGTATGTAATTTCATGTTTTAATATTTTCCATTATATTTTTCAATTGGTTATACATATTGACACTAGATTGTTTTTTCAGGTTGTCTTTTTTATAATTATAATAAAAAATAAATCTAATCTAACACTAAAAAAGTTCACCTGTTCATTTTCCATTCATGAAACATCCTGTTTGTAAATATTCCATCGCCCATAATTGATTCGCTTAACACATTATAAACTCTACCTTTTTGGAACAGATTAGGATTAGTGAGAACCGCTTCTACATCTTCAGGTTTATTAAGAAATACGACTAAGCTATTTAAAACCCACCACTTGTGTAAGGTGTACTCGTATCTGTATAACAAAAACCACAAACAAATTATTGTTGCTCTTAAATAGAAATTGAGAATATGAAAAGAGTATTAAACGTAATAGATAGACGTGAATACAACATAATTACTTTCTGGAAATGTTGAATATATTCATCAACATTTTTTCAGATCCTCCAAGTAAAAGAAGTAACCCATCCATAAAAAAATATCCATTTGGACCGGGTATTTGTTTTGCCAATGATGTATATCTCCAGTTTACAATTTTAAAATAAAGAACTACTAAAAATAATATTACCGCTGTAAGTATAACGACAATGTTATTCAGGCTTGTATTATTTATTATCACCCACACCTGAAAATATCGTGTCCATTAATTAATAGTTTTATATATCATGGTATTTTTTTCGTTGCATATAATTTAGTGCTATAACTAAAAGTTAATTTGTACACATAACATTGTTAAAAAAAGCAGATTATCTTTACTAAAATATGTGTAGACTACAGTAGCTAATTAGCTAATACACTAGCATTGATTCATTTCCATAGATAGTTGAAGTTGAAATGGTTTTTAAATAAAAAAAATTTTCAGCCGAGTCTGCAACCACGAAAGAGCATTTTCATGTATCTTGTAAGTACTAAATAAATTTAGAGTATTGGTGGAATTATAAATAATGATGTAGTATATTACCAAGCAGTAACAAGTTAGTATCTAAGGTGGCTAGTATATTAAAACATCAAGTTTCTGGCTAATATTGTAGTTTTTAATATCTGGCATAAAACAACTCATAGAGAATTTGGGCACTTAAACTATTATGAATTTATCATTTAGTCTATTATCTCTTATCAGGTAACAGCGTAACGCATTTTTGGTAACACTAAGTAAATAACACTTTTTTTGTTTATGTGCCTAAGCTAAAATTGTCTTATTCATAAATTACATTAATAATATCACCTATTGCTTTTAAAAATATTTAGTAATTATGACCTATGCCTAATAATAACACATTTTAACAAAAAAACGGCTTAGTCCATTTGCCAAAATTTAAGTTTCTACCTACAATAATTAGTAACATAATATCTACACAATATTACACTAACTTTTCGGTAAATGATTTTTTTAACCCTTTCAGGACGACACCTTGAAAAACAGATATTGATGGTCATATGCCATTTGTATTAAAATTAAATACGGGCTTAAGTCTTTTAAATTTTGTGTTATTGTTTTGTAAGAACATACTAATTCTTTAAAACAAAATAATATTTTTATGGGAACTGTTATTTTTTTTCCTCTTTTTATTAAATTTCAACGATACGCATATTATGAACTTTTCAATTGGGGATTTATCAGTTAAACCTTAGTGGAAGTTTCGGAAATGGGAATTCATAATATTTAAATGTTTAAAAAGAGTTTATTGATCTTAAAAATATTTTTATTTTAATCATAAGATAGATACATTTTGGGTTAGGTTAGGTAAGGATAATGACGATTATTTTATCTTACACTTTCCAAAGTAAGTAGTTAAGGTGATGCCGTGAGTCCAGACAAAAAAAAAAATATCAATGTAAACCTTCTCAGCCCGGAATTGGATGAAATTTGCAAATTATAATAGAAACACTGTTAAGTTGATAATTACTTACCTGCCGAGACAAAACCATTTCATTTAATCCCATTTTTTTTACGACGAAAACTTAAGATTCTAATTTTCTATAATAAATTCAAAGCAACTATACACAACGACTAACTAGGTTTTTAATTATTCTTACATTTTATACTATCACATTATATGCTTTCCCACTAGTATTCAATTTTCAATAGGTATTATTTATGAGTACGTTCATAAGCTCTGTGAAACTCACATTTTCATTAAAAATATAAATTTGCATACAAATAATATTGTAATATATATAATATAAGCAACTATTTAAAATTTTTTGTGCAATATAATACGTTAAATTTTTACGTTAAAATCATACAATTTCTTTTAAAGAATTCAAAACAATTATAATTATGTAATTAAATTTAGTTGAAGTAGTGTTACTGGACACCCTCTTCTATCACGTTGTCCTGTCATTGTATTATATATTCAAATTTTCTATAATATATTCTTAGCAAATATACACAACGACTAACTTGGTTTTTTAATTATTCTTACATTTTTTTATACTCTAATGTCATATGCACTCCCACGAGCATTGAGGAAAAATAAATAATATTCAATTTTCAATAGGTATTATTTATGAATACGTTCATAAGCTCTGCGAAACTCACATTTTCATTAAAATAATAAATTTGCATACAAATAATATTGTAATATTATTAATATAAGCTACTATTTAATATTTTTAGTGCAATATATTACGTTAAATTTTTTAGTAAATCTTATATATTTAAAATAATAATACAGACATAAATGATGCTAGTAAATAGTTAAATCATTGATTTATCTACTTTTATTCTATCTTTATACACTTTTGAATATTCAAAAATGACATTACATGTTTGAAAACAATACTTTTTAAGTATTTATTAGTGTGCACGACCCAATTATGCTGGCATAATTGGGTCGTGGTCTAGTAAGGGCGAAGCATAACTGAATAAATCAATCCAAGTCATTGTAAAAACCATAATTTGGTTAAAATTGTATTATTCGACTTTGTGTACCCGATAAACTTTATTTATTATTTTGTTGGTTAATGTTAACACAATAATAACATAGGGTAAGCCTACCGTATCTAAAAAAAATGTAACAACAAATTATTTAAAAAAGTAAAAACAGTGAAGAGCAATAATAACTGTTTTTTCAAAGCGCAAATAAATTTACATTAAAATTCACCAGACAAAAAAATTAGCTTGATAATTGCATCCCTTCCATAAAAAGTATTTATTCTATAATTATTATAAAGGAAATTAATGAAAATACAATAGTAATAATGTCGGAAAGTGTAATTTGAATTTTAAAATACACTACACTCAATTAAAGAATATTTTATATTATGCATATTGCTTATGTAATAATGCGAAATAACGCACGATGGTTTCTTTATAGTGTAGTTGTAAAATTGTGTACTTTAATATTAATATAACAAGTATGTATGCATTTTTTGAACTATATTACATGGGTAAATGAAATAGTTTTTAGATGCAGTACATTCAATACACGTTGACAAACCAAATTAAAAACTTATTAGAGACTTTTTTATTTTTTTTAAACATTTATTATGTATTAGAAACGTATTTTTGTTGTATTGTGTACTTTAAATAGAAAATCTACCTGAAAAAAAATTAAAACTCTAACATTGAGTCTTGGATGAATAACAGTTAACAATTAAAAATACCAAATTTAAATTGTATAACTCATTGAACGAGAAGCGGTTCGTGCCGGTAGAATTGCAGTCTACCACAGTAAAAAAAGATAAAGCGAATGTTGTTATTATCTCTAATATGCAAGCAATCTTCAGAAGTAATAGTCTCACACACGTTGTAGACATATTTTGTTCAGTCATATGTACAATAGTAAACAGTATTAAATTAGTCATGATAATCATCTTGTTTTTTTTCAAAAAAAGTCAGTATAGTAGGGTCACGGCATAGTGGGGACGGGGAGGTCTCAGGTTTACAGGAATTATTACAACTGAATGTGATAAAATTACTTTCAAACAAACATTTTGATGCTAGTTTTTTAACTTTTTCTTAACATATTTTATAATGTTTTTATTTATATCTCCGGTTTTACTAACTACATAAAAAATAACGAAACCCTAACTAAGATGATTACATAAAATTCAAATAACACTATTCAAAACCTTGGTTAAATAATTGATTACGGTCTCGCTTTTATTTTAATGTAACACCCGTCGACAAACTTTAGCGTCGTTGAAAACATTACACGAAGATTTTCTGGTTTAGGACACTTTTCCGACGGATTAAAACGATAAAACCAGACCAGTGTTGAGATGCCTGTTTTCATTTGAAGCATTGCATATTTGATACCGGGGCATATTTGATACCACTAAAAGGAAGAAACGAATACGAATGGCGACTGCGACATGCTTCGGGCAAGAAGTTGTCCGGGTTGAATTTCTCCGGATCGGGATAGATTTCCGCATTTAAGTGTAACAGAGCAGGAAAATTACCAACGTTGACCCTGCAGATATTCTTGAAAATTACTTTACTTAGTTATTTTAAGTCTTGACCTCCTAATACCATGTATAAAAAAAAAAAATTTAAAAAAGCTATCTCTTTTAATAAGTATGTTAATTAATATAATAAATATTCTAGTAGTTCTATCGAAATAATATTTTTAAAAAACACGTACCACCCATAACAGTAATTATTTCATCACGTAATTGGTTTAATGGCATCTGATGTTCATTCTCGAGCATTATCTCTATAAACGATTTAAGGCCAATACACTCTTCGTTATGTTGATCTTGACTGTTAAAATTATTTTTCAACTCTGTATTTTTTCTCTGGATTAAATTGTCGATGAAATTGTAAATTTTACTCTGGCTAATGGCATGTTTGCGTTTAAGCGACGATAACTGAAAGAGAATCTTGCTCCTTAACCACGGGTGTGTTATTCGGTATTCCCAAACCTAAAACAAATCTTCATTACAAAAGACTGACATGTCAGCTCAATCACATTATCGGTAAAGTACTTTTGAGTTATTAAGTATGCCTTGGAACATCGATTCGTTCCAGAAATCATTAAATATTGAAAGTATACCTTTAGTATGACATGTAAATTCTCCACAAATACGTGCTTGGCGTTTTTCTGTGCATTAAATTTTACACCCAAAGCGGTTCTTCCGATCATTTCCAATGTCGCCATACCGATTGCCCAGCTTATTTCACATTCATTTGTATTATTTTCCCGTTTCTCGCACAACACCTGGCTTAAGAATTTAGCTTCCTCGTAAAATATTGGTACGAACGATTTAAGCAATGAAAACTTAAACCCCGAAGATACCAATTTTCTATAAGTATGATATCAAATTTATATAATGTTTGAAAGTAGGTAACTCTATGTTTAAATATTTTCCATTATATTTTTCAATTGGTTATACAATATATTGACTCTATATTATTTTTTATGTTTTGTTTTTCTATAATAATAGTAATAAAAAAAAATATAATCTTTCTAAAAAAGTTTACCTGTTCATTTTCCATTCATGGAACATCCTGTTTGTAAATATTCCATCGCCCATAATTGATTCGCTTAACACATTATAATTTTTAGCTTTTTGGAACAGATTAGGATTTGTAAGAACCGCTTCTACATCTTCAGGTTTTTGGATATATGTATAAGTCATTAAAAAGCCACACTTTGAATAAGGCGTACTCGTATCTATATTACAATTACAACAAACAAATTATTGTTGATCTCAAGTACTAAATATTGTGATTAATGAAATGTAACAAATAGGATTGTGTAAAGCGTAATTACTCTCTGCCAACTTTTAAAATATTCTTCAATAGCTTTTCAGGTCCTCCAAAAACTATAGGTAACCTTCCCACCAAAAAGAATCCATCTCGACCTGGTATTCGATTTGCTAATGTTGTCTTTCTTCGGTTTACTATTTTAAAATAAAAAACTACTAAAAATAATATTGCCGTTATAAGTATAACGACAATGTTATTCAGGCTTGTTTCATTTATTATGTCTGAGATCTGAAAAAATCGTGTCCATTAATTAGTAGTTTTACTTATCATGGTATTATTTTCATTACATATAATTTAGTGCTATAACTAAAAGATAATATGTACGCATAACATTGTTTAAAAAAAATTAGATTATGTTTACCATAATATGTATAGACTACAGTAGCTAATATTGACTCATTTCCATGGATAGTTGAAGTTGAAATGTTTTTTAAAAACATGGGCAAATTGTCATATTTATAAATTACATTATAAATATCACCTATTGCTTATTAAAATATTTGGTAGTTATGACCTAAGCCGGTCATAATACATTTTATCAAATAAACGGCTTAGTCCATATGCCAAAATTTAAGTTTATACATACAAAAATTAGTAACATAATACTCAAACTATAATCGACTAACTTTTTGATGAATGATTTTTTTAAACAGATAATGATAGTCCTATGCCATTTGTATTAAAATCAAATATGGGCTTTAGGCTTTTATATTTTGGGTTACCGTTTTCTAAGAACATATCAATTTTTTATGACAAAATAATACTTTTATGGAAATTTTTTTTTTTTATTGAATGTCAGCGATACGCATATTATGAACTTTTTGAATTGGGATTCATCAGTTGACCCTTAGTAGAAGTTTTGGAAGTGGGAATTCATAATATATACATGTTTAAAATGGATTTATTGATCTTAAAAATGTTTATATTTTAGTCATAAGGTACGTTTAGGGTTAGGTTAGGTTAATGACGATTATTTTATCTTACACTATCTAAAGTAAGTGGTTAAGGTCATGCCGTGAGTCCAGACAAGAATAAAATAAAAAATATGAAAACCAATTATAAACATCAATGTAAAAACAACACCTTCTCAGCCCTGCATTGAAGCTAAAATGTTGAACTATTAATATTTTGTTTTACAATTATAAAAAATACACAATAGCTAATAATTGTTTATTCTATATATATATATACATATATATATATTTATATCCATGATTAGTTAAATTTTTTTAATGTATTCTAATTACAATAAAAAAATTAGTGTAAGTTTATGTTATGAAAATTGGAAATTATAATAAAAACACGATAT